ACAGAGGGCTAGGGTGGGGATTTGGGGGTGGGGCAGAGGAAGATGGTCTAGGATTTATTTTCCCCATGTGTCTTTTTTAATTTATCCTGAAAGGGTCTCACTGCAGTGCTCATATCTACCAATTGTTAAAACAATCCGTGCCAGCAAATTCGGTTCTGCTTAAAATGGCAGCTATCCAGAGCTAAGTTAGTGACACACACATCCTCATACATTAGCACACACTCTCCACTCTAAAAAGCCAGCGAACGCTACCCATGCCTCCATTCCGATCTCCTGACACCCCCTACCAATTGGGGATCTTTATGGTAGCTCACTTCAGGGCAGGACTGTAAGCAGGTCTTAGGAGTTTGTAGCTTCTGAACCCTTCTTGGAAAGGAATGGCCCACAGGAAAGCCCCCTGCAAGATCTCCACTCATGGAGCCTAGAATGCCCTGCCCAAGTCAGACAGGAAACCAGCCAACAGCAGCAAGCTGAGTCGATTACAACAGAACTGACCACCAGGGAAAGGAGAAGCTAAGGGCCAGCCAGATATGGGCACACACACAGAAAGGAGTGCATGCCCGTCATCTGCGATGAACAGCAAGATGCAGTGGATGATAGAGGTGCATGTCCCAGGTGCCAGTTCAGCCAAAAGTCAGAGTGGCCGAGCCTGCAGAGAACTAACCGTTATTTCCCAAGGAAGCCCCACCTTTTCCAAGGAAGCCCCCCCATTGCTACCCAGGATGCACAATCGCTCCTAGAAAGGCATCAAAAACAGAGAGCCACTGCGCCAAAAACCAAATAAATACAAACTTTCTTGGGCAGAAAGAAACCGCTGGGACCTGCAATAACAAAGCCCCTTTGAAAGAGGTAGACAGGCCTCCACCTAGAGATCACTGTGTGGCCTCGGGCAAGTTAGTTTAACTGTCAGAGCCTGAGCTTCCTTGGTTGTAAAACAAGGGCTAACAGCCCTTAGGCCTGTGGTGGCAATTGCAGGTCCCAACCCACTGTAGGCACTTAAGAACTACTAGTCTAACCCTTACCTCATATGTCCAAAATGAGTTTGGATAAGATTCGAAGCTGAGCTCTGCGACCTGCTCACCCAAGCCCAGACTTCCCACCTTGTTTCTCTAGGTCTGATTTCATTCCCCATTAGGATCTGATTCTGACAAGTTGGTTTATCCTTCCAACATGTCCCATGTTCTATCTAAGGCAACCTAGGCCTTTGCAAGGCTTGTCTGAGAACCATGGATCTATTGTTTTCCTATAGGATTTGTTGTTTGTAGATCAATAAGTCCCAAAGCAAACAGACCCAGTACCCACTGTTAATGGTAAATATATAATGGTTAATATATTTATTAAAAATATATTTGTAATAAATA